ACTCTCGCTCTCACTCTCTCACTCTTTCTCTATCTATCGACGCGTCTCTGTGGAGACCCAGTCAAGATTTGCGATCGAATTTGACGCTTCCTATCTCCTTTAGTACTAATTACATGAACGTTGCTTCCTCCAGGCCCCTAGCAGGTTCGAGCTTCGCACGATGTCGCTGAAGATCGGATAGCCGAGTATCTAGACAATAAAGGTAGTCTAAGGACTATATAAACATGCCTTTCGTCCACAAATTCAGGTTCCTAATGAAAAACGTTGCTGTCCTGGGTATCCGATCCCAGAGTTGAGGTCATTTGTGCCGTTGTTCAGTAGCTGAAACGCAGAAGTGATAGTGGAAGTGATTTCCAAAAACGGAGGCTATAGCTATACCTTACCTTCAACATCTTCGACAGCTCCAAATTGGTGTGCGCCACGACGTCATGCGCCTAACAAACGATAAAATACATGGAGCACCATCCAATTACCTGCAGCGTAATCAGATATTCCGATCGCTTCTTAGTTAGGAGTATTCTCATACATCGCAGGTGCGCAATGTTGTTATTTCTACCCTGACTGGTTACGTCGTATCGTGCTGGAAAAGCTTTATGGAGAAAACGTACACTTCTTGTAATTTACAAGCTTTGTGGTCGCTTTTCGGTCGTTTTAAAGGTACCGTGACCCCAATTTACCCGCTTACCTTTCGTTACGTAGACATTCCGAAAACACTGCTGCAGCTTCAGAATTTGCTTCCTAAATTTTGGAGTGGCTTTCGAATCGATATGATAGCAATAGTGATTTTCCGGGCTGTAGGTGGCAGACAGTTGAATGGCCAGGGATTCATAGTCCTACAATTCGGATTCAATTTTTGTTGTTCTATTTTCGTTACCGTATATACATTCGTAACATAAGCAACGGAATAATTGATTTTAGGGGCTGGATGGTCATCGATAATTCTTCTTCGTACCGTGGTGCAGTCAGATTCGAATGGAAGCTCCTGAAACTGATAAATTCAGGGAAGATATCAAGCATTAATTTAGGGGCAATCACAGTGTCCGGGGTCATTGCAAAACCGGATCGGCTCCCAAAGCACCTCTGCTAGTCTGCCATGAATCTTCAACACCTGCGCAATTTGTAAAATCCGTAATATCGTATGCAGCATAGGGTCTGCGTTAAGCAGTGCTTACTTTTGCGACGATCCTGCCTCGGCCGAGAAGTTTTTTGAGTATACTTTGCATCTCCCTCGAACAATCGCTGACAATCCAAATGCCTTCCGGAATTTCGGGATTCCGCGAAGTTTACTGATTCCTGGATGACGATCTAAACCCAAATCACTTTGCAAAAGCTCAAGCAGACTTTTGATCGGCCGAGAAAGTATGCAGCTTGTAAATACGAGCACAATGATGCAAATTCCTCTTCCAGATATTGGCGAAATTTGCATATCGTGACTTAAATTTGCGATAGCTAAAGGCAAGCTCTAACTTAAGCCACAGGCAAGAGGTATGATATTTTGTTTAGTGCCTTCAAGAATGATCAGGTTCGAAACACGAACGTCATTAAGCCGGATGCGCCTTTTATAGAGCTCAAGTTCTAGTGCCAGCCGGGGTTTTTCATGCGATTATGGCTGAAAATCCTGTTATAACCACGATTAACATCAATGGCCGTTCGTATGAAGATCTATCCCCAAAAATGATCATTCGAAATTGCGGGCGCACACTTTTTTCGAGAGCTCCAATGGTCGCTGCAGTCATTATGCCCTTTTCTGAGAACTTGTGCTACTCGGGTACCTCCTGATACTTTGGGTGAGATTAACGAGAACGAAAAATT